CTTCAACTGAAAACAGAGGCTCCAATCTACCTCTGTTGCCTTCAGCAAGGTTATGACAACAGTGGCTTCAGCTCCAGCTCGTTACCTGACATTGTACCAAAACCCCTTCCTTTGTTGCCGTCACAGCCTGTCTGTAGCACGTTCCCGAGGGCGGTGTTGGTGCCCAGCACTGCGCCCAGTGCCTGGCTGGTGCTGCTGCCTGGGGCTAATAGCACCACTGCCAGTAATTCGGATTTCTTCCCACTCAAGAGGAGCGTGGCTTTCTGCAACTGTGAGAATCCCGACTGAAGCCATCTACAAGGAACAGGTTGTTGGTACTTTGAGTTGCCAGAAGGAAGAGCTGGCCCTGTGGTCCTCTTCTCTGCAGCGTGGGACGGTCCGGAGGGGCCAGGGTCCCTCCTTGCAGTTGGTTTGTGAGAGTCCTGCTGCCATCGTGGGCTTCAGACACTGCTGGTTGCAGGTTCCTGCTGGGTCAGGGAAATACCTCATGAAGGAGGTGTGAGGTGGTCTCATTTCTCTCTGCTGAGCCACAAAAGTCATCATGGATACGTACGGTTTTGTAGTGAAAAATCTGTTTTTTTGAAGCAAGCATAGGGAGCTTTTGTCACCTTCAAATAACAAATCCCATCCTATGGATATCACCAGTGTTGTGAGTGGATCAGTAGAGAGTCCCGTGATAAAACCCAACCATTGCTAATTCTGGTGACTACTAATAAAGCTGGGAACCCCCAAAAACTCCACTAAAAATTTGTTATTTTGTCTCAGACTTGTTTTCTTGGTGCTCTCCTATAGCTTTTCCAAACCTGAAAATGTGAATGCCTGTTACAAGGTTGTCAAGTCCTTCAAAACTAAAATCTTTGACATGTGAAATGGGAATCTCATTTTCCTGAGGATTCCTGCTGCTTGCATCTTTCCTAGGTTGTACCATTGTCACAGCAGGGAGGTGTTATGTTTCTTGGGTTTTTTTGCTTTCCTATTTCAATGAAGGCAAAGCAGAGTATACCTTACAGAATACTAGTGCTTATTTAGTCTGTTAGAGTGTGACAGATTCTGGATTTTTTCACTCTGGGAGATGAGACTTTAACTGCCCTAGACTACTCTCACGTTACCCTAACTGTAGTAGAAAATATGAGCATCTGCTTAGAATGTTTTTCAGTGCTGAAGTGTCCTGGTGTCACCAGGAGAGGAGACAGGATACCATCCCTCCTTAATAGGTCCATGTGGCACGTCACAAGCAACAGCTAGGATTTGATGCATGCAGATAGAATAACAGGATCAGCTTAACATCTTATCAGCATAACGTATGAAGATCTATAGAGCAGGGATGGCTCATGGCAGAAACTGCTATAGGTGCTGTGTATGTGTCTGCTTCAGGGAGCAAAGGGTACTTCTGACCACTGTCAAACGTTCGTAAGTGTTCCTACAGCTGGACTCTAGGTGGATGCCTGATTTGGATGGATTCACATCTGTGGCCAAGAAAACTTTATACTTGCGATTTTTTTTGTTGTTGTTGTTGGAGTCTAGTGCCTTGAATATAAGGCACTAGTATTTTATCATATGTTTTTCTCTATTTTTTAGTCAGATGAACCTTAGCCAAATACATAGTTTGAGGGAACTGGTGGTGTTTAGCCTGGAGAACGGGAGAATGAGGGGAGACGCTGCCACTCTCTACAACTCCCTGAAAGGAGGTTGTGGTGAGATGAGTGTTGGTCTCTTCTCCCAAGTAACAAGTGATAGGATGAGATGAAACAGCCTCAAGTTGTGCCAGGGCAGGTTTAGACTGGGTATTAGGAAAAATTTGTCAAGCATTGTAACAGGCTGGCCAGGGCAGTGGTGGAGTCACCATCCCTGGAGGTATTTAAAAGACGTGTAGACGTGGCACTTAGGGACGTGGTTTAGTGGTGGCCTTGGCAGCGATAAGTTAATGGTTGGACTCTTAAAGGTCTTTTCCAACTTAAATGAGTCTATGATTCTATGATACACAAGGTAGTTCACAATGGGCTGCAAATGCACATGAAAATCTGAATGCTTTCTGAATCTGCTGGGATTTGCACTTTCAGTCCTTGCTACTTTCAGTCTTTTCTCCTTCTTTTCTTTCAAGCTGCCTCTAAGGCCTCCGAAAGGCCAAAAAATGCCAGTTTAGGAGGGAGAACGTGATTTTTATAAAAGGCTCTCATGTGAAACATACTTCCATCTTGAGGTTCAGCTGTGTGATGCTTGCTTTCATTTTCCATGCTATGAGACTACCAAGTGTTATGCACAGCCTGCTTACAGCTGCTGGGCTCCTGTCGCACCTCTGCTTCGGAAATCCAACACTTGTGAAGTTTGTGACTTTTTTAGAAGTGTATCTTCCTCTTTGTGACCACCAAGTGGTGCTCTGCGCTGCACCTTGCAGCAAGGCAAGCTCTTCTCATTTTGGGATGGGGGGTTAAAAAAGCTGTTTTTCAGAAGTAGGAATGAGATAGAGGAGTAAGAAACAAGTTAAGAGCCTTTTCTTTTCCCCCAGCAGCAGTTGTGCTACAAGGACTACATTATTCACATCTTTATGCTGTGGCTGCGTGATGATTGATGTAGCTTGGTGATGATCAGATGTGATAAGTAGTCTTGGCACTTTCAATTTGGGTGTTCAGCTTGGCTGCCTTCTAGACTTCGGAGGTACAGAGATGGCTATCTGCTGCTTCAAAACTAGATCCTGGCAGGTGTCTTTGATTTGGTTTGCCAGAATTGCAAAAAGCTTCTAAAAGCCTTGTCCCATACTAGTTTTTCAGAGATAATCTGATCCCTGATTTCACTTGGTTGTTTTTTCACCCAGTACATCTAGGAAAAAAACCTCTGTTCATGCTCCTCTTCTGTGGTGTCTTTGCTATTAAAGTTTGGAAATGTTTACAGCTGTGTTGCTCTCAGCAGAGGCAAAAGACCTACATTAACTTGTCTTTGCAGGTTTCCTGCAAGCACTCTCCAGGTGCCATGCTCAGGTTTACAGAAGCTGTGTCTTTTGTATGAAAACATGCAGTTTGATAGAGAAAATTCTTATGTTGTTTTGAAATAACGGGCACATTATAAGATAGAAACTGCCTATAAAATGTAATGGGAATTTAAGGGGCTAACTATATCCCTGTAAGATCCATTAGATGCTCTGCATGGTGTAATTGTTTGCAGGAGTGATCATTCCTTTCCAGGTACTGACAGCCATGCTATAGCATGATGATGCAGCTAAATTCAAACAGCAGCTCATTTGTATGAAATGCAGGGCTAGAACTGAAAGGTGGCAAGCGAAATTGTCTCGTCTGGTGAGCTGGAAAAAAACATGCAGTGTTTTAAAGTAAATCCTTGAATTAGAAGGAAAAGAGGTGACATATAACAGCACGGTGAATGTCATGATTTTGTAAAGTGCACTGATTTCCCCAAGTATTCCAGTCTGTGAAGTGGAGGCCAGCTCCCCTCAGTTAATTCAGGTCAGATAGCCACCAATTAAATAGCTTCCCCACAGTTCCCCACTTTGTTTCTCGGATGTTTTGTGGAACAACATTGCTGGAGTGCCTTTGCATCCCACAGCAGAAAGGAGAAAAGTGAAGCATCACCTGCTTTACTTACAGCACGTATGATATGTGCAGCCCCTCAGGTGTCCTACCTCAGCTGTTCCATCTTATTGCAGCGCCTGTAACCTGTGTGAGGTACAACTCCAACAGAAATAAAGGAATACATAGATAACAAATGTTGATTTTGCTGGATCATTAGTTTTTAATGTGGTCTTAGACTCCCAGCTAAACCAGCTGCTCAGATGCAGGGTGATGGGTTCTCCCAGTCTGAGTACATCAGGAGGGAGTTTTTCTACAGCGCTGAGCAGAGCTTCGTGTAAATTAGATAAAATGCATAAATATTATGGTTTAGTTCTCAGCTTTGAAAAACTAACCATGAGAAATTCAAAGCATGTTGTTATTCCAGATACTATATTTTCATGGTGGGTAGCTCCTTTAGTAGTTATTAAATAGCTTGGATGCAAATTCTGGCTGAGGAAGTCCTTGAATCTTTGATAACTAAGGGCTGGGAAGAGAGACTGTGGGAAGACTGGCTCTGGGTGTGCCCTGCTCTGGTCTTCAGCACCCGGGGCTAGCTGTGGTCAGAAATAGGATGTGGGCAGAAAGGGCCCTTGGTGTCATCCAGTATGGTTGTTCTTGTGTTGCCATTTTAGATTTAGAATGAAATATGGCTTAAATATTTATCTCTCTTTACGTTAACAGTACCGTCAGCTTTGGAATAAGACAGGTCTCTGTTCTGATAGAGAGACCGCAAGGGTTTCCTTGGTGTCACATTTATCTGCTCTCACATGAAGTCTTGGCTGTGCTGCCTTCTTTCCAATACTGAATTAAGTCTTCCTTGGTCATGCCTTTGTCTGGTGTAAATCCATTGTGACAGGAGTGCCGGTATAAAGCTGCTGAGGATCAATACCATCACCGCTGTTCTGTACCCAAGAGCTGATCTGCCCACACACATCAAAGCAAGATGCTTTTTCTGGAGGAGGGGCCGTATCAGTCTAATTGGGCTGGAAAGTGACATCCTTTCCAGAGCTGTGAAAGGCTTAATAGTAGAACGAACTTATTTCTGCTTGCAGGATCAGAAATCAGGGAAATCGTTCTCACTTGAGCTGAAATTAGTTGAGCAGAGAGCACTGTAGTTACATACACTCAGATATTTGTACACATGCTTATTTGTACTCTGGTGTTAGGAAGCAAAATAACAGTATTTCACATTAATGCGTTTAACAGTCTACGACAACATCTCATTGTTACTTGGCAACTTTAAACAGTGGTGAGCTCTTCCAAATTACCCCCCTTTGGGTGTGTTTCCTCTTAGAAAACAGGCACAAATTCATTCAGCTGGTCTGAATGAATTTGGAGAAGTGGTATCAGCTGGCTGTCTTCATGCTCACCTATAGAGATGTATGAACCTTCTGTCTTGTGGAATCTTGCCTCATATTCTTTTTGTGTCTTCCTGGCCAGAGGGTGAAGAAGAGGAAGAGGATGAAGAGGAGGAGGAAGAAGAAGAAGAGGAGGAAGAGGAAGACGAGGAGGACAAAGATATAGATTTGATGGACGAAAGCATGGAGGGTGACACAGAGCTGCCAGGTTTCACACTTCCAGGCGAGACCTCCCAGGAGCCCATAGCTGGCCTGGAAAACCCTGTGGCCCAGCTGGCCGGGGTGTCCTACCAGGTTCCTGACACCATCGAGTGGGAGCAGCAGAACCAGGGTCTGGGTAAGAGAAAAAGCCCCTTCTTCCTTTACCCTTACAGAGGACACGTCTCCTGCTCTTCACTTTGCATGGGACAGTCCCTTGTGCTGAGAAGTCTCACAGGTTGGCTCTCAAGCTAAACACAGAGCCAGGTTCATTTCTGAAGAAATTCCATCCAACAGTGACAACTGATCGAGCTGGGGTGGGTCCCAGCGTGGCCTGAGTTTTCATTTAGGAGAGAGCTGCTCTGGATACTTGTCCTGGTTTGGGCTGAAATAGAGTTGATATTCCTTTTCAGGGACTAGATGAGTGCTGTGTTTTGGATTTAGCTTTGGGTTTGGTATGGGAAGAATGCTGATAGCACACTGGTGTTCTCAGCTGCTACCGAGACTTCAAGGACTCTCCGACTCCTCATGTCCTGCCCGTGCACAAGGGCACAGGGAGCAGGGAGGGAGCACGGACAGAGCACCAGACCCAAACTGGGCAGTGAAATATTCCATATCATGGAACGTCATGCTCACTATATAGAAGAGGGGTGGTTGGGAAGGGGCTCTCTCTCTCTCGCTTCCGGGATTGTGATTGTGGGATCTTGGTATCTCGGGGTCGCTGGCCGGGAATGGGCTGGGGATTGGTCAGCGGGTTGTGAGCAATTATGTTGTGCATTGCCTGTTTATATATATATATTTTTTTTTATTTTCATCATCATTGTTCTTGTTTTATTGCCATTATTAAACTGTTCCTATCAGCCTGCGAGTCTCCCTTCACCCCTCTAATTCCCTCCCCCATTCCCAGGTGGGGAGGGGGAAGGGAGGGTGACCAGCTGGGGTGGTTGGTTGCGGAACAGCCTCAAATCACGACAATACTCCCAGATCTGCTCCTTCATTCCCAGAGCGTAGTGTTGTCTTGCTCCACAGGTAGGCAAATAAATAACTTCTCAGATGAGATTTCTGGGGAAATTTCAGTTTCCTTTGCTCAAGATGGGTTGTTGCAGGGATATATGTCCTGTGAGGACAAAACGAGTAGGGTAGTTGGGTAGGTGCTCCTCAGCCCATTTTCTACTTCAGCAGCATTTTTGTAAGTGCCACTTTTCTGGCATTTTTAAGGGGTGTATGGTCCAACCATGGGACCCTATGCTGGCAGCATTAAGCAGGACAAACCTACAAAGCCTCTATAAAGTTTTATACAGTTTATTCCCACTGTACATATAGGCTCTGTGTTTAATGTCTGGGCTCATTTATTCCACCTGCAAATAGATTATCAGTGTTTATATGTGTGATGTCCACCTGATGCAAGTCAAAGCTGGTGTGGGACGAGGTAGAGTTTAGGAGGGAAGTTGCCCAGCTTGCCTAAGGGCACTGGGATCATTTCCCAGCATATTCAATTTCCAAGCCAAGCCCCATCAAAACCAGAGGCAACCTTTCAGGTGAGTTGGTGGGAACTGAACCACATCTGTACAGAAGGTCTCTCTGTGTCTGACTGTTAGAGAAGTAACCGTTTTAAGAAGCTCATAAAATAAAGAAATTCCAAAGCTCTTTTATATGTTGTATTGTAAGGACTATTGCTTCCCCATGATGTTTAATTCTGATTTAACCTGGCCATTCTCCCCCTGTAATGCTGTTTCTAGCCTGCTTTAGTGTTGTTAGCTTCCTTTGAATTCAAAGTTCGTATGTCAAGAAGTCTGTGGGAGGGTTGCTCTTTGAGGGCATATTGAGTTTGCATTAGGTCTGATACCTCCCCGTCCCTGAAACTCCTGCTTGACAAACATCAGATTGGATGGTTGCCATGTCAGATCTGTTTCACGTGTCCTGTTGTCCCATCAGGCTGGACAGGAGCTGTGTGAGGGGAATAATTCTAAGTCTTTAAGGCTTTCTGATTGGCTTTGTCAAGCTGGATTAAAGAGGTATGTGACAGTGCTCAGAGGAAGTATAAGAGATACAAGTTTATGACAGGAGTCGCTTCAGCAGCTTTGTGTCCTTATCTTCCTCGTTTCCTTGGTGCAAGATCTTTGTGGTGTCTTGAGAGAAAGCATGAGAGGAGCAGCGTATTTTCTGCACTCAGGGGTGGAGTGGGCTGGCTTGGTGAGCTCGGTAGGACTGCTAGCAATAGTGAGAAGGTAGTGTTAAGCTGTTAACCATCTAAAGCTATTTGCCTGGTTCAGGATCTTAAGTAGCAGGGTCGATGGCTTGGCAGAGCTTTGCCTCTGAATCGGTGCATCCTGGCTAATGATGCCAGTGCTTTGTAATGTGAGAGAGACAGCATTTTGCAAACTTGGAGGTGCGTCCCCACACACCAGGCATCACGTTGTGCAGCGTGGAGGAAGATGGCAGTGATATCTCCTCAGGGATTCAACCATCCCAGCTAGGGTGGCTGATGCAATGTTATCTGGCTTGTGTCCCCAGAGGGCTCTGACAGGAGTCCTGTTCCCAGAACAGGGTGCAGAGCAATGGTTATTTTGTCTGGAAGGCTGTCTAAAGACTGCTGAAGATGCTGTTGTGTATGATACAGGCTGTTACCGTGAACTTTGGAGCTAGAGAGGAGGTTGTTCTGTGTAAATCATCAGGCACAGCTCTGTTCATAGCTGATGCAGGTCTGAACTGGAGTCAGGGCTGCGTTTCCAGCCCTACCACTTTCACTGCTGGAGGAAGGGGTTCACGGCAGGAGATGCCCATCACATGGGTTCATAAATGAGGCAGGTGAGAAAGCAGTGACCAGAGGCTGAAGCTGTCCCTGGTGTGCAGTAAACCTCTCTGGTTGGAGAGGCTGTAATAATCATGCACAAAAGATAAGCAGGCCTGGGCTTTGAAACCATATGTAGCTTTAACAGTCCTTGTGTAATAGCATCTGTTATGAAGGGTCTTTCCCCTAGCATGGAGCCATTCTGGAGGATGCAATTTGCAGTATCTCTTCCGGAGATCTGATTCTGAACATATGGGTCCAGTTCAGTTTCTGATGTGTAATATTGCATCATACTGCAGCCTTCATTCTCCACTACCTTCTCTCTTCCCTAGACCTTGAAAAGGCCATCTTTCAAAAAATTTCAGACGTGGAATAAATTGACTGTGTGGCAAAAGGCAGGATTTTTCTCCCTAACTTACGTTTTATTGACTCTCATGCAAATTGGAGGAGCCCCCTGTGAAGTCTGTCAGGTTGGGTCAGCTGCAGAGCACCAAGTCTGGGCACCTGAAAGGACTGGGCAGACATGCATTTCTGCATTCTCTGGAAGTGTCTGGCTGAGTTGTATGTCACCAGATCCAAATGGTTTGGACTGCCTTTTATTTTGAAACTGTTGCAGTCTGTGCAGTTGCAGCAAAGATGAGGCTGTGACTGAGCCAAGTTCATCCTTAAGGGTTAGATGGGACTTCTGTACAGTGGTGTTGCAGGCGAGAAAAGAGGAGATGTGGTGGGATCAATCTCTCTGCTTGTGACTCACCCCTCTTATTCCACCAGGTAAACACTTATGTAAAGAGCCATTTATTTATTTTTTTTTTCTGTCTAGATGACCTTAATGGATCTTTTATATTGCTTCCTTTCCCATCTACAATGTTCTGATGCCCACGGTGCTCCTAAGAGGAAAGGAAATGATTTATGTTTTAGAGGCACAAAGGAAACCAAGGACTTCAGTGAGCTCACACTGAAAATCTGAGGCCAAGCAAGGAGTTGAACCCAGGTGTTTGAAGGGCTCATTTGCTGGGAGTGCATGGGGAGTGGGAGCTGCTGTCACATCTCCGTGGCAGTGCTGGGCTCCTTTTCCCTGAGATGCTGCTGTAGTAGTGCAGCCCTTCCCTCCCTCCCAGTTCATACCAGGCAGGAGTTTCTGCCCTGGTTCCCCAGTCCTGGGTGTGTGGGTACACGCTGGGCTGTGCCCATACCTGGTCCTGGTTATGGGTTCCTTTATAGGGTATATTAAGGAGAACAGGAAGGGTGGAAAAAGCGTATAGCTTGTGTCAGCAGGAAAGGGAGAAAGAATAGGAGGAATCCCCCAAACCTGTCAGGAGGGCAGAAGAGCTGCCCACATTGTTCTGCTGGAGCACATGGAGAAACCAGACTCACCGTGAAGGGCTCGTAAAGCTTTAGATCTGCTAGACATGTGCATGGACTATTTCTCTTTGAAACCCTTTTTCTCCATGTGCTTTTCATCTGAAGCTAACTCTTTGAAATCTACTTCCTTTAAGTGATTTTCTTCTAAAGCTAAAATTAACTTGACTTTAATTTTAAGGCAGCTTCATAACCTCTGTACCTCCCCAGATGCAGCCCCTGGAGCGGGGAGCTGCAGCTATTCTGAATGCTCCTGGGTCAGGGGCTTTGTGCTCCCACCCGCCACAGCCCACTGCGTGTGTCTGTGCATCCCGGAGAGGATCTCAGCCAAATAGTGCTGAGATATGCAGAATTTCCCATCTTGTGCAAGTGAAATATGGTTTAGAAGGGGAGGTTGTTCTGCTTGACCTGGGATAGGGCATAGGAAATGAAGACCTGAAGAAAGGTAACGGTACCCAACAAGATGAGGGTACACCATCTGAGCACCAAACTTTTACAGTAGGCATTTTCCATTTTTTAAGTACTTTGCACATATGTCCTTCTCCTGGGGATGTGTCTGTCTTCTGGCTTTCAGAATTTTGACATTTAACACTAAAATCTATAGTACAGAAGAGCCCAGAAGTATTGGCGTAGCTATTCTCAGGTCAGTTATTATTGAGTTTGCTTGGTCTGATGGCTGACACACTGCAAATCCCTGGAGAACAAGTAACTTGATCCACAAACAGCTTGGCAGAGCAAGAGACAGTTTGAATTTTTGTAGTGGTCAATGAGAAAGTGCTGGAGAAACAGAATCATTAAAAATGTCAATTCTGGGAAGTCAGATGTTCCTATATTAACACCAGCTGAGCAAAAGCAATTTATAAGTGCTGGTAATGAGGCAGTCAGTTTTACAGTCCATCAGCTGACTCTCTAACAAGCAATATTCAGACAAAAAGTAAAGCAGAAGATGATGTCATCTGTGCCTTTATAAAAGAGAATTTGACTCTCCA